CACTAAGCAGAGACGTTGATCTTGATCAAAACTTGTTTTGAGAGCGTAGAGAGAGAGAGGAGAGAGAGAGAATATTCATGTGTATGTGTATGTCATTGCTGTTGTCCACACTCAACCGTTGGCCATAAGAAATATACACTAATACTAAGAAACGTGGATTAAACCTACAATTTCACACTACTTGGGTGGCATCGATTGCGTGCATCTGAAAAAACCAAATTTGTTCGGAGAAAGCGGTGAAGCAACCAAAGATAAAAACACTGATTTGTTGCAAAGTCATTTAGAAGAACTCACGACTGTTAAATCACTGATGAAGGCTGCCGTTTTAATCTTAATGTTAATCTGTATAGTTTTCATTGTGAGCAAATATAAGTCTGTTAAGAAAAGTATCAAAACCAAATTTGAGAATGAGAATAGTCAGTCAGTTGCTTTTGAAAATGATACAATTGATGAGACGGCATCACCCAATGTTAAATTATTGGAACTATAAGCTTTTACATAAATCTGGCCATCTTGTATTAATCCAAGTTCTTAAGTTAAGATGTCTTTCTGTGTAAATTTTCGTTCTGAGTAAGACCATCGTTCCCACCTAAATGTAAAGCGTCCAATAAGTCTGAAATACTTCAAAACATTATAAAAAAGATCCTTCAATTTATTACAAAAATATCAATGTGTTTTATTTATCAGATAGAATGGATTTCAGGAGTGACTGTCAAAAACGATTTCTTTTGCGTTAAATTCGACATTGTTAAATGTGTTTGTATGTATTGTAAATCTATTTCACTTTTTTTCAGTTAAAAATTGGTGCATTTGATTCGCCTAGCTTAACTGTTAAATTTATTTACATTGATTGGTATATTCCATAAACGCGTGAATCACACAAGCTTCGATGAACAATTTTACGTAGAAACCGAATCGTTTGAATGGCGGACAGGATGATAATTTTTATTTTTCAGTTGTACATATCTTCAATGAGATAGTCCATACGTCGATAACGTCGTTTTGACCAAAAGTCACGAACCTGTCGGAGTGCACAATTTGTCACCAAAACCACAAATGGAACAACCACAATCATCCCAATGATTGACATTAGAAAATTATGCGATGACTTTTGTTCTTGATACGAAATTGTTTCAGATGATTGCAATGCGATGGGTCCCTCTTTTTCCGGCTGTGCTGGCTTTTTGGCTAGAACTAACTCCAACGCACCGGGATCATCTTCAACAGAGCATGTGACTGTTGGCTTCTTTGGGATTGCAGTTGTCGTTGTTTTTGGCGTTGTCGTTGTTCTTGTTGTTGTAGAAGTGGACGTGGATGTGGATGTGGATGTGGATGTCGTAATAGTTGGTTTTGTCGCTGCTGTTGAATTCGTAGCCTTATCTGTTTTATCTACTGTTGAATTCGTTTTTTGTTCTACTTTTGACGCTATCTGACTCGGTTTTTTATTGGCAGTCATTTCGGTTGATACTTTATCACTTGCTTTGGTACTATTGCTATTATTATCAAGATCAGTTGGATATACACCACGATGTTTAACAGGTTCAGATGCATTTGCTGATGATCGATCACTCCCGCTGCTGTTACTGCTGCTGCTAATTTGTTTCGTTGATTGACTTTTAGCCATGAGTTTGCTTATGCCTGTATCACTAAATATTATATTTGATCCATCATCCGGCTGCTGCATCGTTGTAGATACATTAGTTGCACCGTTAATCGGTTGAAATGCAATTGTAATAAAAATTGAAATAGCACAAAATTTTAACGAAATAAAAACCATTTTTTGTTTGTTCGTTGAACGAGTCGTGTTGGCACAATGACGAGAAAATATTCTACGTAATTTCAATGCATGGAAGATTGCAATTTGCGTGTCACTGCAAATAGTAGTTAAAAATAGAAATTTAACGAAAAATTAAAATGTCAATATAAAAAATGCAATTGATTATCAAAGTAGATGCGACATTTTTTTTTATTATTCTATTATCATAGCACGATTTTTTTTAGATGTTGCAATTTTCTCAACAATTCAATCTTTCAACACACATCAAATGTCAAATGTTGTGTTATTTTTGCCATTCACTTCAAGTCTAGACTCGAATACTAATCTACAATACAAATGCACACAGATGTATATTCACACAGATAACCGATTTGGTAGCACATGATGAATGACAGTTCGGGCTTCGAAATAACAAAGAGCGCGAATTTTCGAACAAAAGAGTAATTCATTAACAAAACAAAACCGTACACGAAAATGATGAAATTCGGAAGGAAAATGCAATACGATATTCGATACACAATTTTATTCATTGAAATTTGAACAAATGTAGTATTTTTTTGTCATAGAATTATCTTTCCCACTATATTAACAAACAAATTCAAAATAAAGAAACTATATGAAACACTTTTTTGTTGTCTAGAATTTTTTTACATAACAATAAGTTAATATGGAAGAAAAATGGATAAAGCTTTCTAGAGAAAGCATTCAACTATGAATTATTGCTATGCGTTTGTTTTAATTGTATGGATTGCACATACAATTTGTTCATTCATATAGATTTGACTCTGATTGGCATTTTAAAATTATGAAATGGTACATTCGGCATCACCATGTTTGGGTAAACAGTTGAGAACCGATGCGACTGCTTTTGCAATATAAACCATTGTTCCGTAAGAGCCGCTCGGAGCGCTGTCATAGAAATGTTGGCATATATAGGCAACTCCACCGCACAAAAGACCATTTGTATTTGATAGAGATTCATTATTTTCCTTGGCACAGCATAGCATTGCGTCACCATTGATTTTACGCTGTTCTTCAAGGAAAATTTGATTGGCTTTATGTACCAAATGCTCCACACAGATGATGTCTCCCAAATTCGAAACCATATTATGTTCGGTCACCAATGTTAGCACCATCAATGCTTCCACCACTAATTGACGGTATTCCGGTTGGGGTATGGTGTTCAACGCTGTCTCAACTTCTAAGGCAAATTTCAATTCTCCCGGTGTCATTTCTTGCGTTAAACTTTGCGGTAGAACACGTCCCTCAATAGCCAATCCTTGGCACTGAATTTTTTTATTGAAGTTTTATTATTTTCGAATCGAAAAATTAAAGTAAAATTAGGCTTACTCTTTCCAAAACTGTCCACACTCTTGAGTAGAAGTCACGTGGCACACGATTCAAGGCACCATCTAAGCGTCGTCGTCTCAACCATTGTCCTTGACGATCGTCTATTTCACAATTCGCCTCATCCTCTGGCTCTGGTTGAGTTAAACCGATTTGGCTTTTCTTACTAACACGTCCCGATGTTGTACTTACAATCGTGAAATTACCACGAGCAACTACAAATATCCAATTTTTATATTATAATTTTTCAAAGAAATACGTATTTGAAAATGGAATGTGTATTACTCACCACTGCTGACAGCAAATTCTTTGCCACTCAAAATGTGATAGAGAAGATTTTTCATCTCGAACGGTGATAAATTGAGCAAATGTTCAGATGCTTGTTCGCCGTCACAGTTCAGGGTTCGAGCTAATTCTTTCGCCATAACCTATTCCAAAATTACCAATGTGCGATCATTATTTTACATTGAACTTCGGAAATATGTGGAGAAAATTACCTGAATAATAAGGCCAACTCGCAAGCGCAGCATCTCAATGAAAAGCTGAGGTTCTGTACGGATGAACATCGCCAAATAGACCATCAACTCTTGTGTTAACATCGCTGTTGATTCATCATCGCCGTATGCCTATTATTCGTATAAATTGAATTAAAAAGTAACAAATTTATAGCAAAAATTTCGTCACGTTCTACTTGAAGTAATGACTATTCACCAAATGACCTAGTCCTACCTCATGAATGAGTTGTCTGAGCTCTGACTCCGGTAATGGAGCCGTTATGGTGTATTCATTATTCGGTGGCATTCCTACAGTCACTTGTTTTTGTCTGACGAGAAGATCGGTCTGTAAATGACAAAATCAGTTTTTAGATTTTACGTACACCCTACTTTAACTGTGGCGAAACACATTTTCCCTTTCTGAACAAATAATTTTCTTAATTTATTTTACTTACAATTGCTTTGGCGAGGTCCTCAACGCGTTTTCCAAGCATACCTGCCGTATGTCGAACGAGTCCCCAAAGCTTCTGTTGGCATGCCTTTTCATATAGTCCCTTCAATAGCATTCGCACGGTCACCACTTTTCCATCTTCTAACATTCCTTCAGATGTAGAAAAAGTTTTGATTTTATCTACTATTCAGTGTTTATTGGCAAATTGCACGCAAATCGCCGCAATAAAAATAGAGAAAGTGTTTCATATATGTGTGTATTCCAAAAATGGGGACAGAGCAGAATTTTGATGTTCAGTTAATTCAGATTGTTGCATAAATTACCCAGCACAAACCATATGAATGTTTTTTTGTCATTAGTTTTCATTTTTTCCCAAATAAAAACGGTCCAGTTTTTTTTTATTTTATGTATAAATATGCATAAAATGAAGAGCATTAAAAAGAAAAGAGAAATATAAATTGGTTAATTTTGTTGTTGTTTTTTTTTTCGGTATGATTTGATGTTGATGTGTCTGTTTTTGTGTTTTGGATTCGGGATTGCCATGCTGTACACCGTACAGAATCGCAAGGAAAATTTATCTTTGGATTTTCTTTCTTCGTTTTACATAATTTGTAATAAGAAATTAAAACATGAAAAATTATATACAAAAATGCAATATTAAGGGATAAATATACGAAAAATATCCAAGTGTACGTGTATAAGTATATACATGTTGTGTGTGCGTGTGTGTTTTTATGTGCCTGTATTTCGTTTAGTTTGCTGTGTTGAAGTTTCGATATCACAGAACCAATTGCGTTTATTTACATTTGGGAGGTAAATTTAAACTGAGACACCTTCAATTAATAGATTAATTTGTATATATATATATATATATTAACGGCATTTTTATATCAATTGTCATTCGATCCGAAGAATTGTGTGAATACATGCTTTTAGTAGGTATACATTACGCAGAAGGGAAGAAATCATACTCATTGCTAATATAAAGTAATTTAAAAATTTATTGTTATGTTTCATCATCAAAATCAGTTTAAATATTAGTTTTTCATTTCATTCTTTGTTCGATTAATTTTATTCCAAAAAAAATGGATAACACGATCACTTCAGATTTAAATAAAAACAAATATTGATTCGATACAGAATTGAATATAGGATATTGCATGCAATCCAATGAATAATAATACAGAGAGACAGACAGTTTCAACAAACGTGACACATAACGTCATTGCATTCCATTGAATATAAATAATTAAAAAAAAAAATCATTACATTGGATGGACGGGAAGGGTTTGAATGAAAAGAAAATTTAAAAATTAAAATTCTTACCTGTATTGAAATCGAGACCTTGATTATCTACGAGATACTGTAAAATATCTCCTTGCTCTTCAAGGTTCTCGGTTTCACGTAGCATGGCAATTAGCTCTTGTACTTCGGTGTCGGCAAAATTGGTGTCAGCATTACGATTTGGTCGTACCGCTGCTCCCAGCTGTATTTTAGGAACTGAAAAAGTCACAATTTTCCATATTTAAGTTAATCTAAATATAAATCAAGTTGTCTCTTTTAAATCCGGAAAAGTTCGTCAATCCAAAATTGTTGTTTTCAAAAGAAGAGAAAAAATAGTTAAAAAAAATCCAATGTCAAATGAAAAAAAAAAATTGAATTTTGAGTCTCACCATCGTGTTTATCCTTGATTTGAGATAGCTTACTTTCTCCGATCTCCGGTTTATCCATCTCATGTGAGCGCTCCAAATGCGGACGATGATCATAATCCGGCGGTGTTACGAATATATTCGAGTATGCTGGCACTGCAGTGGGTGATGTGGCTGTCGATGTTGATGGAGCAGTATGCTGACGTGCATCTGACCATAATTGGGTCAATTGGGCGCTCGATGTACGACGCTCAATCACATTTCCTTCCATTCCGAGTGTCTCTGAATCGGCATTGATCGATCGAGTCTTCTTGATCGCACCCTTGCATGACATTCGTCGTCTTAATTGACGCGGCCGCAATGTTGTTTGACGAACACTCACCGTACTTTTGTGACTGAACGAACGGAACAAGTGCTCATTCAAATAAGCCTGTACATCGGGATTAAGTCCTTTTTTCAAAAGAAGAAAAAAATAAAGTTTGTATTTAGAATTATGAGAAGGTCACAAGACATTAAAGTACGTACGATCTGGATAGCCATCTTCTTGCGATCCCAAAAAGCTTAAATCTGTGATTGCAGACGTGTTTAAAAAGTCGCCAAGATGTCCGAGCATTACTCGTGTGCCGTTGATGTAGCCCGACTTCAATTTTTTCATTGTCTGAACCATTGCCAATGGAACCCGACCATGATCTGTGTAAAAATCTCTTATTACAATTTCATTCAAAGAAGGCAACATTTTTTAAATAAAGTAGAAAAAATATTATACAAAACAAAATAAGGAAAATATCTTAACGCAGATGCAATCAAAACCACCATGCGAATAAGTTCTACGTGAAGCTTCTACAAAACAATTGTTCTTTTCAGCGTAATCGAATTTAAATTGAATTTTTAAATAAATAACACATCTTATCTACTCAATTAAATTATAAAAAAAATAAACTAAAGTGGTTTTACGAAGTGTGATTACGAACACTGTGAACAGTTTACACTGTTTAATTACTTATGAACAGTGATTAAAGTTGATTGATTCACAGCTTGTGATTTGTAAGCACGTTTACGAAGTAATCGACAAATTAATCAAAAACACTCGTCCAAACAATCAAATAACATAAATAAAACGAAACATACAAATAAAACGAAAATAATTTGCAAATGCAGTAACATGCCATGTTCGAAATGAAAACTACCCAATTTTCGGATAATAATCCCGTGTGTGCTTCACATTCCTTTTGAAGGGCTTACATGCTATTCCAGTTGCAATAATTTTACAACAAAGTCATGGTTTTGATGACTTTTATTAGTTATACACTGCGTTTATATGAAATCACTTATAATATCGAAGAAAAATACGCCGTTCATTTCCTTGACATATGGAATGGCAGGCATGTCATTCAAAAAGGTTTGTGTCGACACGGGATTTGATTTCAATTAAATTGTGCATCTGCTAACTTTTAAAAGAAAAAGACAAAAAAATACGGTACTTCGGATATAAATTTATGTAAAAAAAGTCTATTCTACTTTTAAAAAAATAGAGGAAAACTATGTGTGTAGTAAAAATCTATAATTTACCTAGTAGATAGTGAGTAGTGGCGAGTAAGGTTATTGTTGGTCTTCCTAGGCAATGACGCCAATTATTACTTAAAAATGCCAGATTAGTTGTGAAAATGCTAGCAAGAAGCGATGGATCGCGTGTTGTATAGTATTCTTCGTAGTCGAAATTCTACATTTGTAATAGATTCGAGTATCGTTGAATATGTATCAATTGTGTAATTTTGATAAAATGATTTTTTTGTAATTTTGAATGAGTCAAATCGAAATAATCGGCCAGAAATTGTTTTTTTTTTTTTTTTGAATTTATAATTTAAATATCTCACAGTCTATTTCTTAATACGTATGCAATTCATTAGATGCACGAATTTGTCGAAATCATCGATACGGGGATTGTTCTAAGATCTAGGGGTTCAACTCAAAACAACAATAGCAAACAAAGGTCATCTTCTACAATTTTTTACTCTCTTAAAATTGATATCTTTACCCTTAACCAATCTTCAATGCATATTCAACAAATAAAATTACGCAAAAATAAGAACGTTTTCTAAAAATAAATACAAATAGCGTAAGAAATTAGATTATCAAAGAAAATGACAGGAATACAAATTCAAAATTATTTTAAAAAAATGGGAGAAGAGATATTTTACACGTGAATGAAAATGAAATATCACATAGATACAAACAACGAATTTAAAACAAATTCAAATGTAAGAAAAATGGTAAAAAATGCATTATGAGAATTGGATAAAGTAATTTTACAATCCGCACTGTAGTTTGTCAATTGGCTACAGTGCTTTTGAAAAAACAAACATCTTCGTTACTGAACATTGCTCTTTTTTTTGGTTGGTTTCAAATGAAGCTTAGTTTGTGGAAGTTTAAGTAAGTACTATATAAAACGTTACGGAGTACATGAATGTCACCCTGGATGAATAAATTAACAGAATAATAAACACATTTTAAAAACACCGACCTAAATGAACTTGACGCTTTATCACAAGCGTTATCAGAGGCCGCCCCAGACATTGCCATGCCGATTTTAAGAAATTAATTTCTCCTTTTAAGATGTCGATCATCAATTCGTTGTCAGACGCGATGTAGAAACGTGACAAATCGACAAACTGACCGATTGTGTACGATTTTTTTTATTTCATGAATCACATGTATTCATTCGGTCGATTGTTTAAATCCCAAGTACATTCAAATCACCAATGTAACAAAAACATTTGTTTATGTATTTGTTGTTGTTGTTGTTGTTTTGAGAGAAAAGAATAATTGCATTTAAAAAAGAAATAAAGAAAAAATAAATCCGGTCGAAACTAAACGACGATATGATTGATTTTTCAGCTCGTTTCGATTCAAATTGTTTTTATCGATAATGATTTACCTGCGGCGTGAATGCAAACACTCGATCTTTTAGCGAATACAATTTGCTCGTACTTAAAATACCGACGTCACGCGACTTTCGGCCAGACAGACCAAGTTTTTTGTTTCGACCCAAGTAAGTGTAGAGATGACTAAGTACACGAGCCGGTTGAACCTAAGGATAAAAATTGATTTGAAATACAAACGCTGTCAAATCCATTGAATTGAACATGACTTACTTCGATTGGAGCCACTTCAGCTATTGTTTGCACATGTAAATCATGTTCAGCTAATTTGTCACGTATCTCATTATCTTCTGCCAATATAACGACTTGAACGACAACATCTGGTTTTTTCTGTGCGCCCAATCGTCGATTCAATGGATCGAGCTCTCCGACGGCAAGAAAACCCTTGAATAAACAATATTCAATCAAAATTTATGTAGATAAAACCAAAATGAAATTGGTGCTTCATACCTCTTGAAGTAATTTACCTAAGATGTACAGTGATTGACCCCATAAAAATGGACAGCGACCGGTTATCTGATTGATTTCAAATTTATTTTGATTAATTCAAACTACTATTATGCACGGTAATTACGGTAAGGTAAATACGGTACCACTCGGGGCTGTGAGCCCGGATTTGTGTATTCAGCTGTTACTGCATCGGCTGGCACAGCATAACTCTCTGGCATCAAATACATTCCATCGTCGGATTTCACTAAAACCTCTTCAAGTTTTTCGGCATACCTTGATACGGCCATTTTTTCACCTTGAAATAGGTGGAACAATATAAGATACGAATAGAACAATGGCCATTCACATTCGATGTTTTCAAACATTCTCAATTCCCATCGTTCGTAATATAGTCGAGCACAATCCTCTTTTGGTGTTCGATAACCATCTCGAAGAAATCTGAGAATTATTAAATGTTTTTCGATTTAAAATAGATTATTCACTGAATGAATTTCGTCAGGTTTAGGTTCATTTGATTTTTATACCGTTTGCATCCGTATTTTCCCTGTAATTTCGTGACTATCGCTTCTCTTGTGCTGATGATCAATTCTGGATCATCCACTGCAAACGCAGGAAATCCAATGATTGACAACAAGCCCGAATCTAGCTCTTTTGAGTTTGATTCTCTGGGTAACATTGATTGCAATACAGCTTGGCACCTAAGATAATAGAGACATTATTTAATCGAATTTTCTCATAATCGTAACATTTCGTCATCAAAAAAAGTCCATTTTATGCATACTTGTGAGCTTCATCAGCTAAGACATGAATCACGCTAGCGGATCCACCGCGGGCACCAAACAAATCAAGCTCATTGAGTGCTTCTAATGCGGCTTTAGCCATACCAATCGAACTGGCATTTAACTCAGGTAATCCATGATTTGTCTTATCGCCTCGCTCCCATATTCCGTAGTCCTACCGATGAGAAGAGTATTAGTAAATTACCAGCAATAATATATGATATAAAAATGAGATTTTTTTTTTAATATGACACTAACCGGAATGCAATATGCTGATTCAATATAGAATACAAGATTTTGAATGAAAGCCACTTCATCCAGTGAGAAAATAATTTGCAAACCGCTTGCAGTCATTTGTCCCAATATGAGCAAATACAATGAAATCGCATCGATTTGCAAATGTCCCCATTCATTGTCCTTAACAACAGTTTGTCCATTGCGGCTTGAATATTTGGCATGAAGAGAGTCGAGAGGATTCTGAGTTGTTTTAAATTTTTCCACTTTTTCCTTCTGTTGCATCATGGCCATCAAGAGGCCTCTCATCAATTTAACACAGCTCTGCTCCAATTCGTATGCTTTAGCTCTGTCTTCATCTTGATCAGCGATTTTTTTGTATGCCATTGATAAGCCCCAAACGGCCAATATGCAGTAGACATTATCACGAATCTACAAAATGATTCAGTTTAAGAGCAAAATGAAAAAAAAAATCCAAATTCTATGCTTACCCATGCATGTGAATTGTTCGGAGATGCTGGAAATAAACCAGTCACAGGTTGCTGATGTGCTATTATTAATCTGTGTACAATTCGTTGGTATTGGTCCAAACGAACACCTGAATTACTTCTGCTTCGCATTGTGTTTAAAGCTTACTTTTAATGGGACGGGACGGTTTAAAAATGTTTTCGTTTGACAGATGTCGTTTTTTCAGCACACGCGAATACTCTGATATTTGGTAGCCGTGTGCTATTCAATCACATACACTAATTACGTCCTCTTTTTATTCTCTGCTATTCAAATTGCTCCAGAACGTGTTCTTTTCACAAAATGACCGACACGATATTATGAAACAATGTCACTTTATGCACTTTTGTTGGTCATATTGCTTCGTATTCTTTTTATTTGAACAAAAATACACGTCACTTTTCAATGACCACAATATACATGCACCGTATTCGACGTAATAGTACTGTATTGCGAAAACAGGTCAAATTCGTTTTGTTTTTGGGAAATTTGTCAATTTCAATCACCTGAAAATTTTATTTGTGGTTATATCTTTTTGGCAAACAATGGCGAAACGAATTTGGGAAAAAGTGATTGGAAAAAACCATTAAAATGGATTTTTCACTCCTTTTTCGCCTTTGTTCGCGCAATTAACCAACCACTCAAACTAAATTAAATAAATGTCATGTCAATGTCATTATCTATTAGAATTCAATGGGACAGTCAGATTGGTAGTCATGAATGTTGTGTGATAGCTCGAAACCCAACTGTCAAACGCACAGTGGAGACGCCATATAATTTTTTTCTTGTTTGTTTTCATGACGGAATGCCCGTTATGAATATTTATGATCGTGAAGAATGTAAATTTACAGAATATTTCCTTGTGTGAACACAAACAGACACAGGAAAAATGAAAAATTCTTGCATGAGAACTACATAGATCCAGACACACACCATGACCATGAATAAGCTGAATTCAAGAGGTATAATTAATTTCGGTAGCTAACTCGACTTTTCGGCAAAATCACATTTGCCCGCACTAGCTTCTTCTTCTAGAGTGATAATCTGAATCATCCAGCATTGATTTTTCTGAGACCATATGTGTTAATCTCATTATTATGTATATTATAACTGTTTTTTTTAATGCGAAGAAAGAGTTTACAATTTAAGATGTTTTTTTTTCGATTAAATTTGATTGCATATGTATTATTAACGTCGTTTGCTTTTCTTCATATAATTAAGTAATCATTAAAATATTTTATATAATAGGCTAATAATCTGATTAATTATTGCTAGAAATACGATTCTATGTCGCCAAAATAATTCCTAGATTTGTTTTATTATCTGGCGTATAATAAAATATTTTTTTATAGGTTTCCCAAACATAGGTGGGGAGAGGGGGGTTTCCATGTTTTGCCCCCCCACTGTCACACACACGTGCGGTATTTTTTTTTTTTAGATTTATTTATTTCACCGCCAAGTGCTGGCTGAACTTGGGTATTTTTACAGAGTATATATATAATATATGTATAATGAGAGTTTAAGTTAAATAATCAAATAGTTAGGTGAAAATTATATAAATACATAATTTTTTAGGTGAAAATAAATAATTTGTTAGGTGTGAATATCAATTGATAATCAGTCAGACTAGAAATGAGAAAATAATTGAATTATTATCATGACTAAAAAAATTTCAAAGTATTTTTCTTTCTTTTTTGGTTTTGTTTTCCATTGCCTTTCTCTCTAATTTAATTCTAATTTATTTCAATATATCACAAATGTATGCAATCAGCTTCACAAACTAGCCCATGATCCAAAAGCAGAATCAGGGAGACTAAGGAGCTTTTGTCGAAATTGATAGTGTGGCAACGATGGATCGATGAATAGAGAAGCATAGTTGAAGATACGACAAGCATTATTGAATGACGATTGAGTGGAATAATCAGTGCGGCATGTTTGAAGACGAATAAATTCAGGATTGCGTAGTGTTCTAGTTCCAGTGTTAAGATTTATTTGAGATAGGAGTTGGGGTGCGTTGTATTTACCAATTAAGATGGAATGCCCCGGTCTGCAAAAATTGAAAATTACCCCCCTTACAAAAACAAAAAATGCGATTTGCCCTCCTCTGTTCCGCATTTCAAAGCTATGAAGACTTACTCTCGTACGTACGAAAGTGACAACGCATTTGATTCAAAAACCAAAGTCACAGAGAAAAATTTCCTAACAATGTTCTACGAGGGTTGCTCCATAATTTTTTTTAAAAACATATATAACACAGTTGTTTTTTGTCGAAAATGGTTTTATTGTTTTTCAAAATATTCCCCGAGATGATCGATACACTTTTGCATTCGATGAAACCATTTGTCATAGCATCCGTGCCACTCCGAAACTGATATCTCCAAAACGTGTGTCTTGAACGCTTCAACTGCTTCTTCTGGTGTCGAAAATCGTTGACCACGTAGTTTTTTCTTCACGCTTGGGAACAAAAAAAAGTCATTGGGTGCCAGGTCAGGACTGTACGGTGGATGACCCATCAGTTCGATGTTTTGACCGGTCAAAAATCGAGTAGTTTGAAAAGATGTGTGAGAGCTCGCATTATCGTGATGAAGAATTATTTTGCGACGGTGGTTGTTTTTTCTTATTTCACCAAACACTTCGGGCAAACAAATGGTGGTATACCAATCAGAATTGACGGTCTTACGATCCTCTAGTGGAACGGTTGCCACATGACCACTTCTCCCGAAAAAACAGGCGACCATTCGCTTCGAAGTGCTTCTTGCTCGAACAACTTTCGTTGGGTTATCTTCATTTTGGAAGACCCATACAGTCGACTGCTGTTTCGTTTCGGGCTCATAGGCATATATCCACGATTCGTCACCAGTGACGATTTTATTAACGTCTTTTGAAGCACCACGATTGAATTTCTTGAGCATTTCTTTACACCAACTCACACGAGCCATTTTTTGTTCATCGGTCAATTTATGTGGGATCCAACGAGAGCAAATCTTTTTTACGGCTAAATGTTCATGCAAAATTGTATGTATGCTGTGGGATGAAATGCCCAAAGATGCCTCAATCTCACGGTAGGTCACATGACGATCTTCCATAATCAGTTTTCTGACAGCATCGATGTTTTGTGGCACAACAGCCGATTTTGGACGACCTGTATGAAACTCGTCTTTGAGCGAACTACGACCGCAACGGAATTCTCGGTACCAGTTATAAATTGTCTGAAGGGTTGGTGCTTCATTGCCAAAGGCCAAATGAAGTCGATCGAAACACTGTTGTTGAGATAATTTACTTCGAAAATCGTAGTAAATCATTTTACGAAAATCTTCACGTGTAAAATTCATTTTTTTGTTGAGTCGCAGTTTACCAGTCACTGTAAACAATACAAATAGCGTTCGTACGACAAAAGGTTCAGGGCACGAATACATACCAAAACATCAAACTTTACGAATATGACAATGGTTTACATCGGGCAACACTATAAGTACCATTTTAAAAAAAATTATGGAGCAACCTACGTATTTCACCAAGCAAATTTATTCATTTCAATCATTTAACGAAACGAAAAAACATCATTTTTTTTTTGGTTGACTCCCCCCTCCGGCCGCATACCATTTGCCCCTCCCCCTACGAAAAAAGTATCCCCATCTATGTTTCCCAAACAACAATTGAGTCAGCGATGTTATTGAGAACCAAATATTGACTCAATTATATTCAAATTGTTTGCTTTTTTCTGAACTTAATGAAAAAAAAATAATTGTAACAAATGTAAAAAATTCATCATTTAAGTTGAAAATATTTCCACAACTTTTCAATTTCGACTTGTTTACCAATGACTATAAAAAGTCTAGTGCCCAGGCGTTTTCAATTCAGTTGTTAGTTAATTTTCTCTGAAGATACCAAATACTTTTCAATGGAGTTGAATACGCGATTCTTTTCATTATTTCTCCTAATAATCGGTAAGTTTTAGTTGATTATTTAAAGATTACTAAAAAATTGTTAAAAAGTTCGAATCTTCTACTTTAATTGGTTTTAGTTCAATGTAATCTGGCATGGAGTTTGACCTTCATTTGTGGAAGATCTGTGGAAGTTTATGTTGGAAGCAAAGGGAAACCAGATGAAAAATTTCGAAAAGTAACAATTAAAATGTTTGGTACTGAAAATGACTTTAATAGCGCTGTAGCAGCAAATCAAGCAATGAATTGGGAACAAGTAGATAAAGCTAAATGTTGCAGTTGCTGTAGAGATTTAGGGACACCAGTATCCTGGACTGAATATTGTGTTAAGACTAAACAAGGCTTTGTATTCATCAATGATGGAGACTATAACAAGAAAATACACACGCAACACTTTTATGACAGAAATTTTCCTTCAACATGTTGCATTGGGAATCCAGGTTTAATTAAAAAGAAGGTCAAAGTCTCTGATGTCAATAAAATATAAAAATATCTATGAAAATTCTATAAACGATTAAAATGGTTCGAAAATTTTATAAAACGAAATGAATAAATGATGAATAATTTTATCTGGTTATTATTTTTCTGGAAAAAAAAATTATAATACAAAAAATATTGAAGTTTGGCAAAAATATTTCAAAAACACGTAAAGAATATGTCTATGATATAATCATCAATTCATTTTTGCAAACACTTCATGTGAAGAACATCGAATAAACTTGCTCTCACTTTTAAGCTACAATACAATATAAAAAATAAATAAATTAATTAATTCGCCAAATATGGAGATATTCGTCATATGTTTGGTTCAGCTGATTGTATTTGTGCGCATTCAAATAGACAAAACAAACCTTTATGCAAAGTGCACAATGTGCACATACTCGTTTAGCCCTACCATCACTTGCTTTCTATATCACCTGTATATTTTTTTTGAGCTTCACGTTCCGAGCGACATCTCTATGTGCTTGGCATTGAACTCGCGATCCAAACGAGCACCAAAGGCAATTAAAACATTTTTTTTTTGGTGCGAAAAAGTCAAAAATGTCAACTGATTTTGTGTGAAGAAAAACCATGTGATATGCAACGTCCTCGCAGTTAATTTTGATGACACAAACTGTGCAAAGTAATTTCAATTTATTTTCCATCACAAATTCACTAAATACAAATAATAAATCGGTTTTTGTTCAATTTACACGGTATATCTTTATCGAGCGTAAAATGACAGACGTCACAACAAATGATTCCGTATTCAAACTTCAAACAATTAACATTCTACACAAACTTTTTGTTCTAATTTTCATGAGCACATAGAGATGGCGCCATCATGCAGTTTTTTACATTATTTGCCATTGTAAGTGATGGTAGGTTTAGCCCCTGTCCATCAGCTGCAAATACAATTGTCAAGCTAGTCGTACAACCGAAGTGTATAGAACTACAAAGTCACCACTCGCATGAAAACAATCCACCAAATGAAGAATTGGTACTTTAATCATTATTTCTATGCATTTTCTGTACAAAAAAATGTAGCCCGAATATGAAGCTGTCGCATATAATTGGCGCGAATACACAAGTTTGAGTTTATCATTCCCTAACAGCTCGTGTGTCAGTGAACATGCGTGCGTTCTGCGTCTATGTATTGGTGTTGTGTTCTGATTGAACAGCTGTGCAAAACGAATGGCACTACACATACAATGATGTTTATCTTATTGGTATAAAAATGACAATGACATTGACAGATAACAGTGTGCATATTCTGATTGAGAACGAATTAGATAAACCAAAAATGCACAGGAATAGATTTTCATAATAGCTGTTGATTCGGTGATAAGAACACATGTGCTGGAGCAATGTGCCAGAAAAAATCCGCTAAGTGCTTGTAAAATACGTGAATTGTCATGTTAAACTGTGTTTGTCCAAATCAATAGTCAATTTTGTGTCTAGTGAACATTTTAATTTCATATTTATACTTTTAAAGGTGTGACTACATCGAACGTATTTCTAGTCTAGAAAAAATAGCGTACGATATACGATATGGTACACGAAGATATTTTACCGGTAAATAAACCAATCACAAATTCGATATTCTTCCCTCAGGTCGATTGTTCTCTTGAATATGTATTTGTCAACTAAATCGTTATATTTTAAATTTTCGATACATTCGTAGGTGTTTCTGATTATCGTGACGTGCTTAATATGTTTTACGCCGAATTTGGTTTACAAACATGAATTTGTATACGATGATGAAGTGGCCGTTGAACAAAATGCCGACGTAACAAACATCTCTCGATCGGCATTTGAAACAATTCAATCAGTTTTCAGTCATGATTTTTGGGGTCAGGATATTAATCATCCGAATAGTCACAAATCATTTCGGCCGTTGGTAACTCTAATGTATGCGTATGAATTTCGGCAATGGTGCAAATCTTTTATGTTGGCGACCCGAATGAAAATTGTGAACGCAGTGTTGCACGGATGTACAAGTATTACGCTGTATTTTACACTGAAGAAAATGTTCGAAAAGGGTGTAAGAGGCTATTGGTTGCCAGTGTATGCGTCGCTACTTTTCGCCGCTCATCCCATTCATGTCGAAGTTATTTTCTCCGTGGTTGGTCGTGCGGATATCTTATGCACGTTTTTTTATCTGCTGGCCGTACTTCAATATTTGTATATACTTGAAGGTTGGTACCTAACTGTATGAATATATCTTATTCGCTATTTCGTCGTCGCTCTTGATCTAAAACCCAATTTGAAAATAAATTGACTCCATTTCTACTTCAGCTGAGGCAGAAGACGATGAATATGGAGTTGAATACGACGAAAAGGAAAAGAAAAATGGTGCAGGTCAGAAAAAAAAGAAAAAACATCCAAAAAACTTGGCACCGGGAGCCGCTGCAGCAAACAAAAATTCGGGCGCAATTCACGCGGTGAAATACATTTCTTTATTTACCTGTGCAGTAGGTGCTTTGTTCAGTAAAGAGCTTGGAATAACAGTTTTGGTATGATTTTCTAAATCACATTTGATTCATGCAAAACATTTACAAGCAATTTATTCCTAATAAGATTCAAAAAAAAAATTTCAGCCATTTTGTGCTGTGTACGACGTCTTGAACAACACAAAACCGCCAGAATGTGTGCGCAATCAACGTTACGTTGCGAGAAATTGGTACAATTGGCGATTGTGGGTGGAGAGAAATCCGAAGCTTCAAACGCGTTTTTTGATATTGATTGTGATGACAATCGCATTGATGCTAATTCGTGGATATTCAGGACTATTCAGGTTGGTTCAATAACATTCTATCATCCAAATTCATTGCTTTTTTCTCTAGGGTGTGGACACAGACTAAAAAACTAAGAAAACCAAGAAAAATTAGGACTTATTAGGTCCTTCAAATGAAAAATTAGCAATACCAAAGTCCGTGTCTCCCCCTAGTTTTTTCTACAATTTTTTTAATCGAAGACCATCTTGTCGACATTCAACTAAAAATAAACGGAATTTTCAGTTTGCCGAATTTTTCACCTCGTGAAAATCCACTGGGTAAGTTTGTGTTTGGCGGAATCGCTTAAATAACCTATAACAGCAATGAATAATTTATTTATGTTTTGTCCAATTTGCAATTAAACAGCTGCTCATCCGGATCTATTTGTTAGAGTAAGTCAAAGTGCAGTAAAATCGTCCTAACTGGAAGTCTGAACTTCTTTGTCGTTGAATTAATTGAGTGTCATTTAAAGGTGTCAACCGGACACAGACGGACAGAAATTTGTCCAATTTTGTCCGGTCCGAAAGCCTTAGCAAATTCCCGGACGTCCGATCCGACGTCCGGGAATTTGCTAAGGCCTTCGGACGTCCGGTCTGACTGTCCGAAAATGGGAACGGACATTCGGACGTTTATCGAAAATGTGTTCCATCACAATCCGAGCAAAAATCCGAAAGTCCGTTCTCATTTTCGGACAGTCGGACCGGACGTCCGAAATCCAATGTAAACTGTACGAACATCGGACCGGACGTCCGGGAATTTGCTAAGGCTTTCGGACCTGACGGGCGGACACACTGTCATTCTTTGTCTGTAGTTTATGTCGTCACTTTACGTTGCTGCGCTAAATGGATGGCTTCTGATTTTTCCATCGTGGCTATGCTGCGATTGGTCATACGGCTCACTCGATCTAATTGAATCATGGACGGATTATCGATTAATACCAACGTTTTTGGCATTCTATGTTTGCGGTGGTCTCTATCAAAGTGGTGTAAAGTAAGATCTAGCATGGATGTCATTCGCTAAGATTATCATTCATTTTCATAACTGTTTATACAGAGAAGTGCAGATAGCAGTTGCATGGGCGATCATCTCATATTTACCATCCTCACATATCATTACCGTCGGCTTTGTGTTGGCTGATCGAATTTTGTACATTCCTTCAATAGGGTACTGTATCTGTATTGCAATTGCATACAGTCGGGGGCACGAGCTTTATCCGAAAGCGATTGGAATGGCTATATTTGTCCTATTGCTGATTTTTGCTGGTCGAACCATTGAAAGATCTTGGGACTGGCAAGACAGTAAAACGTTATTCACATCAGCGCTGCGAATTTGTCCGAATAATTCAAAGATGTACTTTAATCTTGCTCAAATAAGCCATCTCACTCAAGATTTTCCCGCTGCGCTTGAATTTAGTATGGTTGCACACCAAAAAGATCCAGCTAATATTTTTGCAATGATGGCAATGGGCAATGCGTATCGAGCTCTTGGCGATTATGATCAAGCCATCACAACTCTCCGAAGAACAATCGAATTGGAGTGAGTTTAGTTTTATGCAATTTGATTTGCTCTCCGATCTATTTTTAATATTTGCTTCAAACATCTTTTTCACTACTAGTCCGGCTTATGCACGTGCTTGGATGAATTTGGCCATAGCTTATGGATTGACGCAAGATTTTGAGAAAGCGGAGGCAGCCTATCACAAAGCAGCCAGTTTGCATCCGAACAACGAAGTAATTATGTACAACTTGGGCACTTTGGTAAGATGCAATATGATACCACAAAAACTAATTCTGAGCTAATTTCCTGTTTTTTTTTTTAATTCCATCTGCAGTATTTCCGAATGGGAAGATTCGCGGAAGGTGAAGCCTACTTCCGTAAAAGCATAGAATGTAATCCAACATCAGGTCTGGCGCATTACAATCTGATTATGTTTTATTTTGATTATGGTCCCAGGGAAATGGTCGAGAAAACAATTGACGCTTTGGATTTCTATAAATCAATGAACATACTAAAATTGACTACTGTCGCACAGTTACTTGTTCAACGCGGCTTTGGATTCGCGAGAAGCGAAAAGTTGTTTCTTCGTGTTCTCGAAATAAGACCAAATGACCTAAACGCACACTTTCATCTGGCCGTTCAGTATAAAACACGTGGTATGCCAAAGTTATTGAAAGTTAAATTAATTGTATTCTTTTCTTTTGTGATTCTCCCCTTAGGTATGCCAAAGAAAAAAATGAAATACCTTGAAAAACTGTACAAATTGTTGCCAAATAAGAAGCCCAAGTTTAAGGAATTCGTTAAGAAAATTGAGCCAGGCATGCGTATAACCAATGCGACCATTAAAACTGCAGAACAGCTCGAAGAATTGGCCATGAAAAAATAACCAAAGCAACCAGTTTTGATGTAATGTAAAGAAATTGCGGGTATTTTCGTAAAATAAATTAAAGTTCAATAGAGTATTTTAAAATTTGATGAATCTGTTTCTTTTTACTCTGAAATCGCTTTCATTGTGACTTTTTTACTTGGCACGAACATGCATAAACTATAGAGCATTAACAATACTCACAATGTATCAGTCGTCTCAATTATCTGTGGATCTTTATTTCTTGGAATTGATAAATGGGCTCAACCACACTTGTGGTTTCAAGTTCAGAATGAATGCATTGCCTCTAAAGGTAAAGTCAAAGGCATACTTACTTAAAAATTACTATTCCATTACTCTACAATTCCTGATCCATTCCTTCGATTCATTTTCCATTCTGTTCCATTACCTATTGATTAATTTCCATTTTTTCCATTCTTTTTTTCTGATCAACTCTAGGTAAAGTCAAAGAAAAAACGTGTGATTATTCATTTAATTTTAATTTGTTTTATTACATTTGGAATGCATACAATCGCCGATTAGAATGTTTTGTTATGGATTATAATTTTAAAAGTTCATTCATTCTTAATTAAGCAAATACAAATAAAACTTATGACTATAGAAAAAAAAAGATTTAAAAGAAAGTATGAATAAATTATTAGCTACATGAATTTTGTGTCAATTTGCCATTTAATGCGTGTGTCATCCTCATCATTCATCCCAACATTTCGATTACAATTCTATTCAAAACCAAAAAATAATATGTATATATATGTTTAATCGTTCTTTTGTTTAAAATTGCACATAATTATAAATAAATAAAAACAAATTGATCAAGTGTTAATTAATCTATGAATCCATTTATGTCTCTACATCTGGCTCGCACATCTCGGCTAATATTAATTTATTTCTTTTTACAGTTCGATATAGTTGTGATACAATTGGCATTCGGCTTAAATATTCATATTTCCAATTAAACGGGCTATTCAAACAATACACCTTATCTATTTAGATCTGTTAAAATCAATTCTCTCTTCCTCCCTTTCCTAATTTTACAATGACCAATTGACTTAACGGGCAAAATTTCTTAATTATTAATGAACTCTATTAAATGCACTTGAAATATTTATTTCATCTCTTGTTTTTTTTTACTATATTTTTCGCATACTTTTTAAATCACGATCACTTCATTCCACAGTACAACGTTGCTTAGCTTAATTGATAATTGTATTTTGTTTGAATGTGATGGAATTGAAGTTTAATCCATTTCACATAAATATTTCGTGTTGGGCTCTTGAAACTTGTTTACACTCTTTCATATGATGCGTCCTTCAATTGAAAACAATAAATACATTTATGAACCCGATGTGATCTAGTTTTGTTTTAAAACAAGCAATACTCACCATTCAATCGTTACAATTATAACATTTAACCAGGCCAGCTTCATCACAATTCATGCATTTCAAGGCCAAAAATTCGGTTGTAAAATGATTTCGATGCCCCGATTTTTTGGATCCACTGCATGATGGGCATGGCATTAAACGGTATCCACCGCAGATTTGACATGTCTGAGATGAATTCGATGTCTGTAATAAAAATAAAAATATGCAAATTGAGTGAAAAAATACTATTTCCGTGAAAAAAAGAACGCACGAATCATGCTCATCGTCAAAACAAAATCAGATAATTTAATAACGATTTGAAGACGATGCAAAACTTCAAAACAATAAGAGATAAAGTGAGAAATGTGCAAAATATGCGGAGAATGTACCAGATACAATAAGAGTCAAATTGAATTGACTTCCACGAAATATAAAATGTAGAACGTTTTCATATCGAATAGATAACATGATGTGATCGCAATTTGCATAAAATTGCAAAGTATAGCAATCACACAGCAATCACACACTTACCTTATACATCTTTAACAATTGTCGGAGTTCGCCGCTTTCATTGAGACGCTCAACTTGGTCCGCATCCTAAAAAAAATTTAGAAAGATAAGCAGCGATGATTAATGTATGATATCATATTGACTCTCAGATAGTGTCGGTAATGGCATTGTGTGTGTTGTATTCTTAATACTTGGACATAATGTCAATGGCATTAACCTTTTTACGAATGTCCCTTTTTCACACAATTATTTATCGATTTTCATTAGTATACAGTATTGATTTAAACAACTTGGCCGTTCATTTTCATTTTCTCGCTGAAAAAAAAAGTGAAATCCATGCAGCACAATAAGAAAAAAGTATTCAATACTTACGCCAATGTGTTGACCGTCGACATATAATTGCGGCACTTGTATTTCTCTGGATTGCATGCGATCTTTGATTTCTTGTTGATATTCGCTGCTCATGAAAATGTCACGCTCTTCAAATTTGACCAGCAACGTTCGTAGTATTTGCTTAACATTGGCACATTTGGCATATGTTTCACGTACGATTCCCATACTCGTTGAATACAATACCACTTTGCCGGCATCTTTTTCTTTATAATTCTGTACGCCCAAAGCCATTGCCACCGCCGCCGCGAAATTAGTACGAGAAAAAGAAAGACATGAAACGAAAAAATAATAATAATAATAATAATATTGTTAATGTTATCGTTTTTTTTATTATTTTCTTGTTTTATTTGCATTCATATATGATTGTGTGTAGAGAGTTATTAGTTTTTTTTTAATTTGGGTTTTTCGACTTCTTCCATTAAAACAGACGGGATTGAAACTCTACAAGTGTGCAAAACCAGAAAAACATTGCTTTGAAAATAGCAACAAGTGTAACAACAGCACACATTGGAAATTGAGCAGAAATAAAAACAACGAAGAAAACAAGAAATGCAAATCGCTTCATTGCCGAAAGAAATGCTATCTTCTTTTTTCTTTCTCTTTCTTTATTGGATTCGGTGCGTTGGAATGTTTGTCGATTTTATTCACCTTTCACAAGAAATAATCATAATATTCGGTTGGTTTGACGTTTAAATTACGGTTCGCATTCAATCGAAGCCCATCGAACCATTTGTAAAAATGTGGCCAATTGAATGAAAGCATGAAATGAAAAACCATTGACAAGCATGCAAATTTGGACAAATTAAAGATGGAGAAAAACAATGCATTGACTTAATTACATTATGATTTTCGTCTTTTAACACAATGTCTGGCATCTTTTTGTTGCAGCATCACCTCGTCACAACATTAACGCTTATTCTTTCGTCTGTATATTAAACACACTGCGATAAAGAACAACAATGCGAAAACGTTGTTTTTTTCCCTTTTACAAGCGATTACACATTCAAATAAAACACAAAAAAAAGGTCAAAACAAAATGTCAATATGAGATTAATATTTGTCGTATATTTAGTATTTAAATTAGAAATTAATTTTCTGTCTGTCGATTCGATGCGCGAAATTCCCAAGACACAGAAAAACACTGATAAAAATTGACAATTAAAGTTAGCCAAATACACGTTCAACCACAATATTATAAGCAATGAATGTTTTGCATTCGATTTTGTGTTTTGTATTTGCGATTTTGTGAAGTGTACGTATGCAAAGAGCGTGCACGTCATCACATTGACATTCGGCTTGTTGTTTACCTCATCATACGAACGAATGAATAACGGACACTTAAACCAAATTGAACATGAACATTTTAAAACACGCCTCAAAACGTTAGCTTGAGATTGTCGCGGTTATATTTATTTATTCACCGTCTGATCACAGACTGATTTTATCACAATCATTTACAATATCATTTGCAATGAAACACTACCCGATCAAATACCAGCCGCCAGTCTTTTCGACTTCGGAGCAGCAGATATCGACTGTGTCCATGTATATTCATAACACAATTTTTCTTAGTCGATTTTACCGAATATTAAATTATGTATATCGCGTCAGTGCACATTCTCTCAAATAAAACAAAACTCTTTCGACTGGAAATTTATTCAAATCAATTGAAAATTCGTTCAATGACTTTTCTATCATTTTTACCATAAAATCTGCCATTGTTTTCAAGCACTAAAATCACCAGAGAATTTATATCATTTCATTTATATTTTTTTCATAATCACAATCGAACACAAAAAGAAACATTGGTAATAATGATAGATGCAGAGAGAAAGAGAAAAAAATGAAGAAAAGAGAAAGAGAGATATTTGAATAGGACACTGATTCCAATAAACTTATTTCAATCGGGAAAATAGAGAAACTGTTTATGAAATTATTTTTGAGTCAAAGTTTTTTTTATTACGTCTTCATTCGCCTCAGTTTTTCTTCAAATTACCAATAAGAGAGTCTTTGAACCTCACAAGCACACGCATTCAATCATCGACGTGTTGAACTTTTGCAATGTGCGAAAAAAAATAATGAGATCTGTTTTTTTCTCTCTCTCTCTCTCAATTGAGCTGCGTCTTTTATCGTAAACAGTTCTCATGAAACGGTGCAATGGAGATTAATATTTCATGTTTATTTTTTTGTTGTTGATGTAATTTCATGGTTTTCGAGTTAAAACCAAATATCCGTTATTGAATATAAAGAAGGTGCCAAAATGTATCGCGCATCAGTAATTGAATACAAAAGCTGTTGTCTCCATTCAGACAAAGACAGACAAAGAAGGAGAACAAATCATGCACAGAAAATATTATTAAAAAAAAAAAAATATTTTTGAATGCAGACAATAAAAAAAGAATTCGAGCAATTGTTTGGCAATAGACGAGACAGAAAGAAAGAGACCATCCAGTGAAATTGTTCAAAAACGTTACATTTAAAAACAAACAAGTGCTTGTATTCACAAATCAAGCGATTGTGTTTATTTTTCGGTTTATTTTTTATTTGTTTAACGCTAATTGAGTTTCACTTGAATTGAACTGAACTGAAAATTATGTTAGCAGCGCCGTGGCGCGAATTTGAGCCCGACCGCACCGATTCAGCTCCAAGGCAATGGTTTTTATTATATTACACTTATTTGTGTTATGAATTATTTATGTTTGTTGCTTCAAATGAAAAACTGAGTAAATAATTTATTTGTAATAGGTAAAAATGTTATTTTATCGGTAGGTTGAAGAAAAATGGCTTGCATTGGACAAATTACTTTGGAACGGTGAGTTGGCATTGTAGCACCTCACACACATGCATCATACATCAAATGCAGACATCGTAATCAAATGCGAGCCGCACATATATCAACTTAAAATGAGAATGTCGATTAATTGAATGGGAAAATGTGCATTTTTACAAGTGGCCGAAATCCATGAGACAAAGACGTATTGTTTTGTGATATGACACAAAACAAACATGAGTACATTGCACGAACTTGTTGTATAGCTCGGGGAATCTGGTTTTCAAGTATAACATGTAATTTTTACGTGCGAAATTTCACTTTTTGGAAACATTCTCTACGGCTCTCTCTCTCTCTCCACCGCTCGCTCTCTTCGTCTCTCTATTTTATCAATTTCAGTGTGATTTACATGCAAAACACTGTCTGTTAATATGCTTATCACGCGGTGGGCCCCGCATTATGTTAATAATCTCTATGAAATCAGTATTTTTTCATTGAAAATAAATTCCTGAAACGGCCGCAATCATTTCACGGAAGAAAGTGTAGAATTTACATGTAGTACTGGGTTGTGTGTGTGACTGGGCCGCCTGGTTGAATCGATAGGAAAACCGTTCAAAACCATTCGAAAAAAACCAGCGAAAAAAAGTAAAACACGAAAATCACAATGTTTACAATATAGAAAAGCGGCGCATAGACCATTAGTGATATCATTATTTGGTGGGCTTTTGTTCGTATGGTCGACGAACAAACAAGCCAAAGAAATGAAGAAAAAAATATATATTCCATTGAATGAATGAATGGTAGAAAACACATACAATACACATAGAAAAATTTACAACAAAAGTAAAACATATCTCTCAAAATTGAAATGCAAAATAGAAAAGCGAAAACAACAAACATATAGCAGAAGCAGCCGTAATAGCAAAGTTGTATATTTGTTCGTGTTGCGATTTCGATCAACATACGACCGGTGCGCACATATCATATCCATTTAGCATTCAAGCAACGAAGCACCAAGCACAAATAGAAAGAGTATAAGTGTAAATTTTTACGAGATTTCGACACGAATTCATAAAAAAAGAAAAAAAGAAAGAAATAAAATGATGTGTTTTATCAATGTGCCTCTGCGATTGTGAAGATCGTTGAAAATATTCAAACGGGAATCGAATTGTAAAGGCTGAAAATGTTCATTGAAAAACAGCGGTAAACAATGAATACAAAGCGAAATCACATTGAGCATTGTCGCGTTCGCTACTTTATATCGGATACAGAAAAATGGATTTGCATGACAAGAAATCGACAGCAGTGGCAAAACAAATAAAAACTGAAATTATTATCACTTTGGTCTGCATTTGGTACGACGAAGAATGGCAAAATGCCGTGATATCGGACAAGTTGCTTTGACTTTGAGTGGCATCGTCATTGCAAATCATCGAAACCCGTTAAAATATCCAAAAAAAACTACAGCAAAGCAACAATCACACTGCTGGCTGGTACTGTACATGGAAAAATGTGAAAGTGGGTCAATATTGTGCGAATCCGATATCAGCATCATTCGCGCCAAGCTCGCATCGTCAGCTAGCTAGCTGAGCTCATACCTGTATTTATAAAAATCTTCTTTCTTTTCTTTATGCTACTATCCCTCTGTGGTGTGCAGTCTGACAATTGTTATGCTATTTTCGTTTCCCAATGACTTGGAAAAGTCTTTCTACATCGCTTGCTTGATCGGTGTTTTGATCCACGGCATGAGCTAATCCAGTGTACGAATGGCGTAAATACACACACAAACAGAGATAGAGCTCTCGAACCAGACTCGTTGGACTTGATCGATTGTATGAAATATGGTTGGAGTATGATACAAATAGAAACAATTGACATTGATGTCATTGGTTAATTGGAGACTGATGATAACTAACTGGATCTACAGTGCATCAAAAGTGCATTGCTAAACATGGTGTGTAGAAAATGCTGTTTAGCATCATTCTGATCCAATTAAATGGACAGCAACAAATTAAAGCGAAAATCAATGAGATTGCTTTTAGTTTTCGTTTCATTAAAGTGACTATTTTTTCTATTCGCTCTAGATAACGATTCAGGTTTGCTATCGATTTCCATTTGTGAATTGCATCGTATATCGCATTCGAGATATAAAAAATCCATATTGAAGAAAATAAAACTAATGGCAAAAACCTCAATAAAAACCATTGTACAAACATGAAAGAAGAGTCAGAAAAACACACTGACATGACAACATATATTAGAAACTGATCAATGAAAGGTGGCGTCCTTTTTTCAAACCGTCGATTTCTCGTTTCAAATTCAATTTACAAACAATCACGATGGCATTAATCCGCACAACTTTTTGATAACAGCTCAAACTCCACGAAAAAAAGGTTTTTATTATCTTAAACCTGATTTGTGGTGAAAATGTCAAATGTCGAAA